TCAGCAATGGCGTGCTCGACCTCCTGAGCGTTCTCATCCTGGATGATGAGATCATTGGGGACGTTGTCAGCAACGTTTCCCTGCCCTTCCTGGTTCAGAGGGGCGTTCCTACCAGTGTTCTTTGACCTAGTTCTTGTCATAGCTAGTGGTAGTGTCTGGTAGCGACGAAGGGTACTCACTTGATCTGTTCTAGGCTCTCAATGAAAGCACCAAATGATAGAGTATTAATTCTAGAGAGAAGTGAGAGTTAGAGAGAGAAAGTGAGTAATTATATTTCTCAACCCCCTATAACTAGCCCCAAGGGGTCTATTTATAGGTAAAAATGTGGATTTGGGCTCCTAACCATGGGCTTAGGAGGCCCATTACAATAATCATGCCTTCTTTGGGCGAAATAAGGCCACTAATGGGCTGAGTACAATACTTAGCAAATAAAGTGGAGAGATGTATTCTGCCAGGATGAAGTCTGGCCGATGCGGTGCCTTTTGGCCGATGCGGTCCATGGGCCGATGCGGCCCCGGGAGTCCAAGTGTGCTTCCTGGGCCGGTTTGGTATCTGGACGATGCGGACCCCACTGGGCCGAAGGGGGGCACCTGGATGTTCTTCTTGGTCATCGTTGACTTGAGTATGTGGGCCATGGGGTCCAGGCCCATATACTCTATCAATCATTTTAAATTTAGATTTAAATAATTTAACTGCTACATTCTCATTGGTCCATTTGGACAAAAGTATGGTACCTTATGGGTACCATAGAATCTACCAACCATTAATTAGGCCTATACTTCAAAATTAACAAATTAGGATGTTTTTACTTGGATTATAATTTGACGGTCTAGTTCCGTCTGAACTGGTCTGGTAATTTTTGGTCTCTCTGTACTTTTATTAATATCCAAGTCTGGTCTGGTCTGAACTGATCTAAGACAAATTATAGGGCCAAGTAAAAACATCCTTATTCCTTAGACCCTCAAACCGTCAAAAACATTCAATTGAGTGATTTAGTCTATAAATATTAACCGCGTAAAAAGATCGTCACATGTGACAATATTTTTTCGTTTTCGATCTCGATCTTCCTTTTTCTTTTCCCTATCTCTCACTCCCTGTCCCTATTGACCTCTCGATCTCCTCCTGTTGACATAGAGGAGAGGAATTCAAATTGGAATTGCAGCAATCTCCGGAGTTGCAGGTCATGGTCGCCATCACTATTCACTCGAATCATCCCCTCACTGATGGGCGGTGGTAGCAGCAGCATACAACGGAGAAAGCACAAAGACAAAATTGGAGACATATACAAAAACATGTACAAATAACGTTCACAAAAAGAGTTTGACTTAATTGTTTCGTAGTTGTATTTGTTTTATTCGTTTTATACGGATTTTGCTTGAAATTGAGCTTGTGACTTCTCTCTTGCGTAGATGTGTCATTCTCCTTCTACCAGTTGAGCTATGTCCCAATTGTTTGTTTGTTTTTGGACATAAACTGTTCTTTGTTAGTTATATCATAGGCTCTCCCTTAAATTTTTTATTAGCTTAAACAATTATGCTCGGAAAATAGTTATTCCGTTTAAGGAAATAGTTTTTTTTGTTGTAAATGTAGTCTTCTTTTTTTTATCATCAAAATGGCTTTCCATTATTATAAAGCAAAACAACAATACAAAATCCAGAAAGATGTTACAGATCCAATCATAAGCGGCCCTAATGAGAATAGACTTAGCGTCAGCTACTCATACAAAACAACTCGTTTGATCACAACACTTTTATATACCTTATTATAGGCTTATACTCCGTATTATACATTATGTATCTTCCGATATGTTTTTATAAGAAATGATTTCGATATCAAATACCATCACACACCAGTTCTATCGGACTTGACGCTTAACACATCTAGACATATAGTCATACTCGTATTAAATTTAAACATGCCATGTAAAATAAGATCGTATCAGCTTTGATTAGAATATTTCAATTCCGCAAATTATACCATGCGACCGGCACATAATGAGGATGATGTACCCGGTCGCAAAACGGTACCTTTTTAATTAGTAAAAATCAGCATCCCCTTCCCAATTCAATGGCCGCGACCAATTTTGGAGCTCCTCCCGATCGTGAAAAGTTTCAGCTTCATCATCCGAGCTCACTGCTGCCTTCATCCCTATGAAGTTCATTGAGTTCAATCCCTATGGTTTCATTGAGTTCAGAATTCTCAATTGAATCAATCCCTAGACACCTAACGATCACCTTCCATTGAATCAACGATGCAGTGAGTGGCCGGAAGCTTGGAGATACCAAATTTATTGGGGATTTAACTGCGGATGAAACCCAGCACCGTCATCGTCCTCCTTGATGTACGCTGGTAAGGGCGTGGCCGCTTGACATGGGAATGGGGATCTGAATTTAGGGCTCCTAAACCTGGATTATGTTTCTGCAGGGGCGTGCATGGATATCTTGAAAAGCCAATTTGTTTAAGTTACATTTTTATTAAAACGATTTACATTTGTATTTATCTCAAGTTACATATTTATTAGTTTGAATTACATTTCAACTTTTCTCAGTAAGTTACACCATGTTTACATGTGATTTACATTTGTCATGCTGCGAGTTACACAAAAAACAATGCGAGTTACACAACAAATAAACCCATGTTATTCAAACAAAAATGAATTTTTTATTAATGACCCTAATATTAAAAACAAAACATACACACTATTTATGTAAAGTAATTGGTCAATTAGACTCTTTTTTCATTGTTCAATTTACAATGAAATCAATATTTTAATTTTTATGCTATGTACTTGACAAGTTACATTTTGAATGGAATTGAGTTACATTGATCAACAACGTGAGTTACATCTCTTTACACGCGAGTTACATCACCCTGCTACTGGGATAAGAGAAAGAACAAAAAAAAGTTACTGTTCATGCGCGTGAACAGTAACACGCGAATTTTGCCTTTGGGAGCGCGATGCTCACCGTGGGTTGATCCCACGGTATAACGACTCTTTCAATTAAGTTAAAAATATGCTTATGAAGAGGCAGGAAATAAGTTAATTTAAAGTTACAAACATAGCTCGTTTATAACGCTAAAATGCATTGAGTATATTTTTATTTGTACTATTTTCTGTCTCAGATCTGACTAGATCAGACTTAAACAGACCGGATCAGACTTTCATAATTATGAAATACAAAGAGACCAGATATTTATCATATCAGACCAAATTTAAACAGACTATATCGTACCCAAAAATTATAATCGGAGTAAAAACATCCTCAATCACATCAATCTACTAAAATTTCAAATTCATACTTAAATAGGTAAAGTGAATCGGTCAAATTATGAAAGTTATATTAAACTATATTTTGCTAAGAAAATAAAATAAAATAAAATAAAAAGAAAATTTACCCTAAATAGGGGTAAAGATGTTTGTGTATTCCAAAATATTACTCGTGTTTTTATTCCAACATTTGAATAACAAGTGTTAGGGAAAACATGACCCCCCGTCTTCAAGGATCACAAGCTCATATGACTCATGTACACCCAACCACACAACTTGTAATATAAAGATTCTATCTGACAATAACACTTTGTATTATATATTGAAATGTACAAACTAAGATATTTTACAAGTAAACGAGTAGCGCACTTCACTATTTGTATATGGGAACACTTCACTCTACTTCACTCAGATCATGGGAAGCCTTCTTGGATCGTCTATTCTCACCATCAAGGATGCTCTTAGCCACATTCGAGACATCCTTGGAATCTCTTCTTCAAGGAGGCACTCACTCCCACTCACTCAATAGCTCTCGTCAAGGCTTTCTTACATCACTCAAGGAAGCTCTCACAAGGCTCTCTCATATGAATGAACACTATCACCCCTTATTTAAACTAATCTCCTCAAAGTTCTCTAAAACGTACTCTCTACACCCCACTACATTTCTCTAGTCTTCCCAGAAGCATTTCCAAGCATCTCTAATCTTCTGGAAGGATTACACACTTTCCTAGAAAACTTTTACAATGTTTTAGAATATATTCTACATTCTTTCACACGCTTCTAGATAATTTCACGCTTCTCTAGAAAGCTCAATAAAATTCTAGAACATTCAATATTTCTCTACACACATGTAGAAAATTCCATACATCTCCGTGGTATTCCAGAGTTCTTATTAACTTCTCAACTAATTAAGGAGGGAACCCAACAATTACTGTCATGTTTTGGTAGTACAACATTTTAAACATGACAGTATTTTCCAAGCTTGACAATAATTACTCATATTCAGAGAATAGAAAAATAACATTCTTATTTTGGAGTTTTTAAACGTTTTTACTCATATTTCGGGAACTTCCCAAATAAAAACCAAATAAAAAAAGATTGTCTGCAACTTCTATCAATTCCATTGTCAAAAAAAACTTCTATCAATTCCATCCCCATTGGAAAACTAACTCCCGAATAACTTATTTTAAATTGTACTTCGTACTAGTATACGTACAATTTAGTAGTAGCTTAAGAAATAAAAGTTACTTGATTAAATTGTTAAATGGAGAACTTATATTACTAAATACACTTAGAATCTAATGATATACGGAGTATGTGGGAACGGTTGATGTCAAATTGCAAGATGAAAAATTTATAATAAAGACATCAAACTGGTAGCAGCTAAGCTAGTGGGCTGGAGAGTAGTTGGCCAGTATTATGCTGCACCATTATTATTACGTATTAAAAGTTGCTACCTGCCATTCTTGCATTTCCTATCTTCATCGAATCACTAAATCCACTTTGAGCAAAACTGCGAAAAAAATTGATTTTACTAAATGCATATGGTATAAAGTTTGGATTATTATACGAATATGGCATTATTAATTGGATTTTATATCGAAGCTGATGTAGTGTATTACAACTGTACAAGATGTGGACGCACAACCCGACTTAATTAATCTCGTTATTACATTATGCACAACCCGGCCTAATTAATCTCATTATATTAGTCCAACTACATAAATACTTCGTACATACTACGTATTACACATTCTATATTAGTGGGAAAAGGGGCAAACAACCTCTTCAAGTTGGCACCAAAGGGCATCTAAGCCCTTCAACTATTTTTGTGTGCAAAAAGCTTCAAAATTAGTGAAAGGAGGGAAATCACTCCCTTATTAACGGTGAAGCAGTTAACGCAAGTTGTCCCTTTGGTTATTAAAAGTGTTAAGGAAATAATTAAATAGCAGATATCTTCTTCCCTTGTATATCCTTGTATAATTATGTATATTATTTCCTTTCCTTCTATTCATGTAACTCTTGTACTACTTATACTGTAAGGATCCTATGGAATTGACATAGTGAATAAAATACTTTTCATACATGGTATCAGCCTTTCTCACCGATCCCCTTCTTTAGCCGCTCATCTTCTCGTTCTGGGCAATACGAACTGGTCTCCTTCGTTCTTGCTCTCTCTTCACCATGGCTGTCCCTGCTGATTCTGTCCCAATAGCCACCATGGTACACATGGTTACCATCAAACTCTCCTCTACCAATTTCTTGCTATGGAAAAGTCAAGTTTTTCCCATGCTCACAGCCTTTGATCTCCTCGGCTACGTCAACGGCACCATATCTGCACCTTCTCCAACCATCACCACTGATTCTGTTGAACGCCCAAATCCGGCCTATACAGCTTGGCAAACCACAGATCAAAAGATTTTGGGTGTCCTGTTCTCCACCCTAACAGAGGAGTCAATGGTTGAAGTGGTTGGTTGTACCACCTCTCGGGCTGCCTGGCTTGCGTTAGAAAATACCTTCGCTCCAGCTTCCTCCTCTCGTGCTAATCACCTTCGCGATGAACTTATGTCCCTCCGCCGCGGCTCGATGACGGTGGCCGACTATGGCCGCAAATTCCAAAATTTGTGCAACAATCTTGCTGAAATTGGCCGCCCTGTGGATGAATCGGACAAGAGCAACTGGTTTCTTCGAGGGTTGGGCCCTCAATTCACACATTTTGCTGACAATCGAATGTCTCGTGATCCGATTCCATCGCTTCGTGACTTGGTCAATCAGGCCCAGCAGTATGATCTGTTTATTCGCACTATGGAAGGAACTCCTCCACCCTCTGCTGCATTTTATGCTCACGATAGACATCCCTCTCGTTCAGGTCAGCAGTCTCGACAAAGGGGGACCTCTGCAGGTCGCGGCTACAGGGACGCTTCTTCCGGTCACCAGCCGTCCACTCACCCCGGCGGACGTGCACGCTCTAGCTCCGGCTCCAACCCATCTCGCAGGCCGTATACTCCCCGCTGCCAAATCTGTCAGGGACAACACTATGCCGACAAATGCCCCCAATATCTTCAGGCATGTGGAACTGTCCCCTCCCAGCCCTCTGCCCAACTCGCTGAGGCATTTCAGGCATCCTGCAACTTGTCTGAACCTGTCTCGGATTGGTATGTGGATACCGGAGCCTCAGCCCATATGACTTCCCACACATCGGCTCTAGATCAGTTTGAACCTTATTCTGGAAATGGTAAGGTCATTGTGGGAAATGGATCAGGTTTGCATATCTCTCATATTGGATCTCGGTCCCTGCATAATAATATTAATCTTCTGGATGTTTTGGTTGTTCCTCATATTACCAAAAATCTTTTGTCTATCAGCAAGCTCACATCTGATCACCCTGTGGATGTAATTTTTTCTGACAAATATTTTACTGTACAGCACCGGGGGACAAAAGCAGTACTAGCTCAAGGCAGGTGTGAACAAGGTTTATACGTTTTGGAACGCAGCAGTCCAGCTTTACTTGCACGTTTACATACTAGTCTAATAAAAGCCTCTTTTGATTTATGGCATTTACGTTTGGGGCATGTCCCATTTCGTATAATTTCTCTCTTGCAAAATAAAGGACATTTATCTGTTACTTCCCTTTTACCAAATCCTGGACTATGCAGTTCCTGTCAATTAGCTAAAAGTAAACGGGTTCCCTTTCCTTTAAATGAAAAACGGGCATCCAATGTCCTTGACCTTGTTCACTGTGATTTATGGGGTCCCGCACCGATAGCGACTGCTAATGGTTATCGATATTATGCTGTCTTTATTGATGATTTTTCCAGATTCTCTTGGATCTATCCTCTTCAGGCCAAATCCGAGTTTGTGGATACATTTATGCGGTTTCATCAGTTTGTTTGTAATCAGTTCTCGGCTTCTCTCAAGGTTTTTCAATCTGATGGTGGCACGGAATTCACAAATTCTCGTCTACGGGCATTTATGGAACTTCATGGAATTCATCATCAAATTTCATGCCCCTATACTCCTCAGCAAAACGGTCGTGCTGAGCGAAAGCACCGTCACATTACAGAAACCGGGCTGTCCATGATGTTTCATGCTCACGTACCCGCGGTTTTTTGGTTTGATGCGTTTGCTACTGCGGTCCATATCATTAACCGCATACCATCATCTCTACTTCATAATCAATCACCATTTGAAGTACTGTTTGGGTCTCCTCCTGACTATGCTCATTTTAAGCCTTTTGGCTGTCGGGTCTTTCCCTATCTACGAGATTACGCCACTGATAAATTGGCTCCGCGGAGCCGACCATGCATTTTTCTGGGTTATAGCGGCTCTTACAAGGGTTTCCGGTGCTACGATCCTGACTCTTCCCGAATATTTATTACCCGCCATGCTCAATTTGATGAACTTCTATTTCCATTTTCTGGTGCTACTGGCTCATCACAACCATCTTTATTAGAGTTCTCTACCTTTTCTGAATCTTCATGCACTTCACCTCAACCAACTCCTCCACCTCCACCACCATCCCCAGCCACTCCTGCTCCCTCTACATCTACCAGCCTGCCGTGCAAAGCATGCCTTCCAACCTCCGCTCCTTCGCCTGGTCCGACCTACACCACGCCAACCACCCCACCAAGCCCCACTCCTCCACCCTCTCCACCACCATCCAGCCCTCCTCCACCCGTTATTCCCATTCAACCCTCTCATCCCATGATTACGCGAGGGAAGTCTGGCATCTTCAAAACCAAATATCCTGTTCATTTGGCCACTTCACCTTTACTATCAGCTTTGGTTGCCTCCTCCACACCCCGCGGCGTCAAATCTGCCATGAAGTCACCTCAATGGATTGCCGCAATGAATGAGGAAATGCATGCCATCCGGTCTAACAACACTTGGGATTTGGTGCCTCCGCCTCCCAATACCAATATTGTCGGCTCCAAGTGGGTTTTTCGTACTAAATTCCGGGCTGATGGGACCATCGAACGTTACAAGGCTCGGCTGGTGGCTCAAGGATTCACTCAAATCCCAGGGGAGGACTTCTCTCACACCTTCAGCCCTGTTGTAAAAGCGGCCACCGTACGTATCATTTTGGCCCTCTCGGTGCATCATCAGTGGGCACTCCATCAGTTGGATGTCAACAATGCGTTCTTAAATGGAATTCTTTCCAAGCCGGTGTACATGGCTCAACCACCCGGCTTTATTGATCCCCGCTTTCCAGATTATGTTTGCCGATTGAAAAAGGCTCTTTATGGACTTCGGCAGGCACCATTGGCATGGTTTCATCGGCTCAGCACTTTCCTTTTTCATCTTGGGTTTCGTCAAAGCCAGTCTGATTCGTCTCTATTCTTTCTCCATAGTGGTCGTTCCGTTATTTATCTACTACTTTATGTAGATGACATCATCCTCACAGGTAATGATTCCGTCTTACTTGGGCACTTCATTCAACGCATACATCGTGAATTCTCCATTAAAGATCTTGGTAAACTCAGTTATTTTTTGGGTCTCGAAGTCTCCTACACACAGCATGGTTTATTCCTTGGTCAATCTAAATACGCGTGTGATTTATTAGAGCGCTTTGAGATGATTGACTCCAAACTTGTCTCCACTCCTCTGGCCGCCGGCGACACCTTAGTCAGCACAGGTCCATTGTTTTCTGATCCGACACTCTATCGCTCTATCGTTGGCAGCCTGCAATATTTGACTATTACTCGTCCAGACTTATCCTATGCGGTGAATCTGGTCAGCCAGTTCTTGCAGTCCCCAACCGAAGCTCACTTTCATGCTGTCAAAAGAATTCTTCGTTACGTTAAAGGGACTATTCACTATGGGCTCTCCTTTGATCGTCGCCCGAACCAGTCCATTCTAGCTTACTCGGATGCTGATTGGGCACGATGTGTTGAGACTCGTCGTTCCACGTATGGGTATTCCATTTTTCTTGGAGGCAATCTCATCTCTTGGTGTGCTAAAAAGCAACCTACAGTGTCTCGTTCGAGTTGTGAATCCGAGTACCGTGCTTTAGCCAATGCTGCTTCTGAAGTCATTTGGGTGGTCAACTTGCTTCGTGAACTCCAGGCATCTCCCACTTCGGTACCACTTCTTTTATGTGACAATAAGAGTGCTGTTTTTCTAAGTCAAAATCCTATTGCCCATAAAAGAGCGAAACATATTGACATCGACTGTCATTTTGTGCGCGAACTGGTTTCTTCGGGTCGTCTGCAAACACAGTTTGTTCCATCTCATCTTCAACTTGCAGACATCTTCACCAAGAGTCTCCCTCGACCCGCATTTGAATTCCTGCGATCCAAGCTCTGCGTTTCTCTACATCCCACGCATCGCTTGACGGGGGGTAAAAGTGTTAAGGAAATAATTAAATAGCAGATATCTTCTTCCCTTGTATATCCTTGTATAATTATGTATATTATTTCCTTTCCTTCTATTCATGTAACTCTTGTACTACTTATACTGTAAGGATCCTATGGAATTGATATAGTGAATAAAATACTTTTCATACAGTTATTATGACCATATGTAGCACAACTTTAATATGATACATAGTAGTATCTTTGATATTTTTCTTTTTAAGTACAAATCTCCACTACATAACTTTCTCTTTCTTCATTCTTGTACAAATCCAATTTTGGAAGATAATTCATGGACAAATGGAGTATATGTTAATGGTCAAAGTTATGCATTGACAAATATGAAATGTAAACTTTGACACTTAATTAAGAACGAGAGAAGTATTATGCAATTGTCAATTTATTATGAATAACAAATACACTACAAATCAATTGGATTAAAGATGTTGAAAATATTTTTATTGTGATCAAGTTTGCTAAAAATAGTCTTGTTTAGCTAGTTATTTATGGTATTTATATGTATTTAATAGAATACTCCCTCCGTCCCGCTATGATTGTTCCATTTTACCATTTCGGTCCGTCCCATTAAGATTGTCTCATGTCTTATTTGGTAAAGTTTGTGTGGTTCTAAATCATTCCTACTTTATTCTTACTTTATCAATTCAATATCAACCAGATAAATTCACTTTTATTAATAAGCGTGTCACTTTCTCTTGTCCCAAACTTAGGGGGGCGGAGGTAGTAGCTTTTTAAGGATTAAGACCATTTTTGTATAAGGGCCAATACCCTAGATAAGACCCTTTTATGGGTGTTGTACACCCTACGCATATAAATATGCGCTTAGGAGTGTACAGCCTAAGATTTTTTGCACATTCACAATTAGGGGTGGGAAAAACCGAACCGAAACCCAGAAACCGACCCTGGACCGACCCGAATTATAATTCCGGTCCGGGTTTTTTTCTTTTTAACCGGCCCGAATTAAAAAAAAACCCGGACCGAACCGAAAATTCTGGGCTCATTAACGAGCCTTAAAATCTATAACCCGGCCCGGACCGAAAAACCCCGAAACAATTAATTTTAATATAAAATTAATATAGTATATGTATATAAATAACATATTTCCTAATATATGATTATAATCACGGTGGATAAAAAAAAGATTTAGTAACTTTTAGTGACTACAAATATGTTGAATTTGTTTAGCGTAATGATGACCATGAGAATATATTTATAGCAACTCTAGTAACTTTTTGATTTATAAAATTTATTTCGTAATATTTTTAAGAAACCTATATTATTTATATATATAAATCTTACATAAAATATTAAGATAATTATCTTCTTTAAATTTGAATTGTTGGTGATTTTGGAGACTAATATTTGTGTTATTAATTTGCAGTTTGTATTTTTGATTAATTTTATTTGAAAATAAGTGTTAAAATATAAAAGAACAATGACATATTTCACGGTCGGGCTTTAACCGGTCCAACCCGAACCCGGACCAAACCCGGGCTACCAAAAACCCGACTCGGACCGAATATAACGGGCTTTGTTCCGGTCCCTAATTTTCATAACCCGAGACCTTCCGGGTAATTTCCGGGTTTAGCAAAAACCCGACCCAGACCGGACCGATCCCACCCCTATTCACAATAGTCGAAATAGAGTTTCTCGATATTGAGAGAGAGAGAGAGAGATTCATTTGTACGAAGTCTCCAAGATCATTCTAATGATATGAAATTCTTCTCAATCTGTATTTTGATACTTTGCATCCATAGTTGTTAGATGATGATCGTTCAAAACAGGACCAACAAAACATAATCCAGGGAACCCAATAAACACTCAATTCGGTTTTATTCTGTTTTCAAAAATATACAGAATATTAAGGATTTAGTGAAAATTTCGTATCATATCACTCACTAGTGTTATCACGTTTATTGGGCTCACTGGATTGTCTTTTTAATGGATATCTTGTATATGTATTCATGATAAATTGACAACTGCATAATACTTCTTACATTCTTAAAAATAAGAAAAAAGTGTCAAAGTTCACTTTTCATATCTGTCAATGCATAACTGTAACCATTAATATACTTCATCTGTCCCTGAATTATCTTCCAAAGTTGGTTTTTCCCGAGAATGAAGAAAGGTAAAATTGTGTTGTAGAATGTTGTACTGAAGAGAGAGAAACGTTTAAGAACGTGTAAAACATGTTGTGGACCACAAATTCTTTGCAAAAAAATTATTTTGAGGCGGACGAAAAAGGAATTTTGAAAATTAATTCAGGGGCAGAGCGAGTACAATTCTCTAATAATAAAAAACATAAAAAGTTAAAAATTTACAATTAGACAAAATTAAAAATATTTTTAAAAATAATAATCTAGTACGGAGTAATACATTAATAAATAAAGCGTAGTAAAGTAGAACATGTGAATATTGTAAAACTCAACATGTAACATTATTTAAAAAGAGATGAAATATGTCTTGATTTTAGGACCAAAATATTCTAGATTTAGGATGTTTTTACTTAGACTGAAATTTACTAATCTGATTTGGTCTGGTAAATGTCTGGTCTTTGTGTATTTTATAACTATGAAAGTCTAATCTGGTCTGGTCTGTTTAAATTTGGTCTGGCCTGGTCTGGTCTCGTCTGTGACTGAAAACAGTCCATGTAAAAACATCATCATCAATTCTTTAATAGAGCACAAGTTGAAATTAAAAGAAAAAATATCAAAAATAGCGTCACATTAAAATTGTACTACATACAGTCATAATAACCAAAGGAACAACTTCCGTTAACTGCTTCACCCTTAATAAGGGGGTGATTGCCCTCCTTTCAGTGATTTTGAAGGTTTTTGCACAAAAAATAGTTTAAGGGCTTAAATGTCCTTTGATGACAACTTGAAGGGGGTTTGTGCCCTTTTACCCTATTTTAGTTCGTGGATAAACTAATGTCATTCGTTGGTGAACTGGCTCTCGTACGTATCATATGATGTAGTGTATGTGTGTATAATATATGAGGGATGATTCAAATACAAAGAAATCTTCCCATTCAAAGTGAGAATTAATCGTGTGCATTCATTTCCAGATCTAATGGCTCAAAATGAGCCAACAATGCACTAAATTTCAAAATCAAAGTCACAGTTTGACTTTTGTGGTCTCCTAAGCACACGTTTAACCGTAATTTCCTATTAAGACATACATATAAAATCTATAATAAATTGACATTTGAATAATACATATTACAATGAATTGAAGCACATTAAATAACTTTTTTGGGAAAAGATATAATTAATTTTGAGTAATAAGTTGTCAAAGTTTAACAAGTTTGACTGTGACTTTAATTATGAAACAGAGGGAATCTTTATCTTTATATTATATAAAGTAGCAAAGTTGCTACAAGTTTTGGAGGCAAAATTGCCGCCCAAATGAAGGGCAAAATTGGAATTTCGAGTGCATTTAAAAATCCTTTTTTGTGTACGTAGCTAGTTAATGTAATTTATTATGTGCCATAAAAGTATATGAATGATCGGTACATTTGATTTCAATTCCACAAGTAAACATTTATTAGTTAAGGATACAATCTTATTATCATAATTATTATCTTAACATAAATATTATTGTTTCTTTCAAAAACCTGAACGTAATTGCTTTTGATTGATGTAATGATCCTGAAACTGCTTATGATATGAAGAGAGACTAGTTTTGTTAAAAATAATCATATAATAGTAACTTTAGAGGCTCCGGTCATGTTCAGTGTGACGATATACTTAAAGAACTTTAGTAAAGAGTGACATTTTTATCCACAATTATATTTCATTATTATTTAATGGAAAGTATAATATTTAATACAAAACATCACCAGCACAAAATAGCCATAATATATTATTCTTAGAATAATAATAATAATAATAATAATAATAATCATAATAATCATAATAATAATAATAATAATAGTAGTAGTAGTAATAATAGTAATAATAGTAATAATAATAATAATAATAATAATAATAAATTTAATAATAATAGATGTATTTTAAGAAATATTATTGATTTGTAAATGCCATATGTGTATTAATCAAATCAGCTCCAATTATGTATACACTGACTCAAGTCTTATATATTATGAAGCAGTTAAATAAACAATTTATTTTTAACATCTTTTTAAATATAAATTGCAAATATTGCTTCATATTTTAGAACAAAAAATGCCACCATTAAGGAACAAAGTAAAAAAAATATTTGTCCATAAAAATATCCTCACTCACACTATTGGGTAAATGATCCACAAACTTATAAATAAATTTGGGAAGTGATCATGTTTGTGATAATGATAAAGTGTTCATGTAATTTAGCTTTTCACATAATTTAAGATAATGTTTGTAGACTAATTCAAATGTATACATTTCAATAAAAATATGATTTCTATAATTAATTCGTCTGTATTAAAATAATTGTCACATTTAGCTTATCACGTAATTTAAGATAATTGGTGTAGACTTTACAAAAAAAAATGAAATTTTTGGTACTATAGAAGTATTGTATATGTTATTAAAGTGCATAGTAGTATGTAGTCGCTTTTGAGGTAGATTTCATTTCAAAAACTGAAATAGAATAATTAATTTGATACAACCTAAAGAGGAACGTGGGACATTTATTTCGATACACAGGGAGTACAATGTAAAACAAGGAAAAAAATTCAACCAATTGTTTAATATATGAGAATAACAAAAACATACAAGAAAATGACAAAGAATCGCATGAAACTTAATGGTACGTAATGATCACTTTTTTAAATATAAAAGGAAAACAGACATAAACATTTCTACTATTTTCAATGCATCACTTAAAATCCTATAAAAAACTATCATATAGCATGTTTAAGTTTTTTGGAGGGAACATTCCTAAATGATGCCCTATAGCATGTTTACTATAAAAGCACTGTAGGTCGAGTCATTTTAACTTGATATAGCATGTTAATTTAAAAACAATTGATTAATCTTATAAAAATTCATATAAATTTGAAATTAATGTAATAATAATATTACAAAAGTATTATTTCAACAATGGATAGATAATTTTAACACGTTATCATAAAAAATAAAAATAGAAAAAGATAGAAAAATAAAGTGAAAGTGTGAAAAACATAAAATTAAACTGTAATAACTTTAAAAGATGTAGAATATATAAATAGTTCCAAAAATACAAAATATGGACTTTAACATTCTTAAATTGTTGGAAACTTTTATTTATAATTCTTCGAATTTTAACAACCTTTAAAGCGTTTTAATGTAAAAAAACATGTTATTACATGGCAAAAACCGAATAATAAACTTGATTGATCGATTTTTAAAGTAAATGTACTTATATGATACTTTTTTAATATAGGAAACTTAAATGATCAATTGAAAATAGTAGAATAAACTACTTGACCTTTTTCTCTTTTTTATTTAAAAAATTACTCATTACGTACCACTCTACTCCCTAATAGAATGTAATTTTAAACATGTTATTACTCCACTCTAGATATATCTTGTGCATCGCACGGGTATTTCGTCTAGTATATATATGTATCATGAAGTTCCCTCATAATTTAGAGAAAATCCCAAACTAAAAACGTTCACCATTCCAAATTCCAATATATGGGTAAAAACGTTTTTGGAAATCTAAATAGAAGGAATATTCTGTTATCATCTAAATAGATAAAGGTTATTGACAATATTCAAGCTACTTATCTTTCCATTGTTATTAATGAAGTTCCCCATGGTTTTTAAGCCAAAAAGAGGAGTAAAACATGGAGATCATCTTTCATCATTTTATTTATTTTTGCTTCTGAAGCTTTTTCTAGGTTTACGATGGCTTTGTTGATCTTCGTTGTAATTAAGTTGGGTCAGGTATAGCCCCCCCCCCAACTTTATTCTTTATGTTTTTGTTACGTGGTTGTATTTTGAGAAGGTATGCCTTCTCGGAAGAGGTTCTGGTTTAGTCTCCTTCTTCCTTTTTGTACTTAGTATTCTTTTAATAAAATATAGTAAATGTTTCCCGGTGTTTGCCCGACTGACTTAGATGGTTTGCCTACCGGGTTTAAAAAATAGCCAAACTTGGAAAATGCTATCACACAGTATTTAACACTTTATAATGTCAAATACGACAGTAATTACTCTGACTTAATTTCCTAACCAGGAGTAAAACATTACAAAAGTTCTAACTAGAAGTTGAATATTCCGTATAGTTTCATATGAGTAAAAGGACATGACTTAACACAAATACCCTTAATGAATATCGTAGTTGTTTATTAAATTATAAAATGGAATAATAAAATCAAAGCATATACAACAATGGAATATTCATGTGTGCCACAAATCTGAAGTTGTTAGGCCGCAAATTAGTCAAAATAATTGAGACTTATCAGACTGAGTAAAGTGAAGTACATGTCAACAACAGATAAATCAAAGACCAGGTCCACTACTCCAAACATGCAACTAAGGATAGAGTTGTTCAACAAACTCCTATATTGATATGAAGAGACCAAGTATTCCGTTTAAAGAATTGCCGGCTAACAAAGATAGTTTGATGATATATAGCGAAATAGATAAAGATGTAACACATGATCTTTGATATATAGAAACCTACACTCTTGTTTACGCTATTAGTGGATTCAACTATTATTCAATATATTTATTTAATTTCTCTTTCTTCCATGAACTCTTGCACGTTTCCCAATCAAGTCGATTTAGATGGATTTTAGTTAAAACAATTTGGTGCCGATCTTGGGGCACATGCAAGAAAAATTATCATTCATGGAAAATAAAAAGCCAAAATCAACATGAAATTAATAACTGAGGCCACTATTATAATACCTGAAATGAAAATATGTTCTTTACAGAACTGGCATGCAAAACTGGGACTATATACAAAATATACAATTTCCCTCTCCATCAGGACATACTTTCTCGGTTGCAGATATACCTGTAACAATAGAAAACTTATGGGAAACAGAGAGGCCCTCAGATGGACCATCCTCATAGGACAAGTTTGAATTAACTATAGTATCAACCTTGGCTTCAACTTTGGGTGGATCAGAATTAAATTCATCATCTCCAGAAGATGTTGTGTATTTTCTGTGAGCAGTAGTAGCATCAATCAAGTGAGCATCAGTGAGAATCAAAAGCGGATGAGCTTCACCAACAGTTACTGCCTTGTTAGAGGTAGCCACCGAGGGTTCATCTAAGCCTACCATAGTATCCAAATTAGTCAGTGTGCCATTACTGGCTCCTAAACCAGCATCAAAAGGGCCTAGGACATAATTTTCCTCATGGGCAATTTCAAAAGCAATATCAAGTGCAACACTAAACTGCTTCAATAGAACTGGGACATAATTTCCAACTTGGATAGTTAGAAATTGAAAGAGTTGAACAATGTAGAAGGTTTATTAAAAGATCTCAAACAAAATCCATAATAAAAATATAGCATATGTTCCGGCCTCCATATCTTTATGTATAGCCTTTTTCCCAACTTGATTGATTCCAGTAATTCTACATTTAGCAAACAATAACATTGAAATGCAATCAACAAAGTTAAAAAGAGAGTCAAAATTGATGTGGTTAAAAGGAAACACCATCTGACTTGCCATTTTTTCCTCTCCTTAATATTGCAAAGCATTCAATTTTCAAGATTAAGCTTTCATCAATTCCAACCCTAAAAAAAACAGCAACCACAAAATCATCAGGTAGGTCATTTTATTATTAAAAAATTTTACTCAACCATATCACTCACCAAAATATTATGTTTAAGGCTATGTAAGTTATGCCATTTAAGCTAATAGTAGGGTGAAGTCTCTATAATTCAGTCAAGCATCATGTGATTGACTTTGTTTCGATAAAAGATTAAAGTGAGTTTGAGGTTTAAAAAAAAGGAAATGATGTTTTATAGAACCATTTGATGGCAATTCCATATTTCAGAGTTAAATAAAAATTGAAGTGAAAGAAAAGCGGATATCAGTAAAATTTAAAAGAAAATACAAGTTGGGAAAAAATGAAGGAAAAAAGTTAAAAAACTTTACCAAACAAACAACTTAATGAGACAAATTCACGAACACCTAGAGTGCTTCATTTTTTATACAGCAAGGCAGAGAGTAACCGTACCTCTAGAGGGGTGGAGGTGTACTTTGTCGCATATGAGAATCAGGCAGAAACTTCTCTTTCTTTCTTACATTGGAAATGAAACGAAATAGAAAGAACAACAAACAAAAAAGGATAAGAAATCGGAGCTAAGTACAAGAAGATGAGAGGCGTTGGGGGGCAGATAACTCATCCAAAAGTGGTGTCGAGCATATATAGGTGTTCACAAAAAACAAATGTTCAAATTTTGAACCTCTTATATTCATATAATAACATGCTTCAAAGTCAAATATGAGATGTTTTAAAAGTTTCCATATATATTCAAGTAGCATTATAGACATATAGTGTTTCGATTCAATTTAAGCTAAGTCGGGTCCATGAATATCTATAAATTGAAAGGATAACCGTAAATCACACTCCCGATGAACAATGTTTGAGAACCAGCCTCAAACACCTCTCTCGTTCTTACGCTGGATATGAAACAAAATATAAACAAAAGCAAACAAAAGTGGAGAAGAAACCTTAGTCGACGACATCGGGTGAGAACTGAGAGACGTTGGTTACATTAGCAGCTTGGTATCGGTGGAGGGTGAGCTGCCTGGCGGAAGGCTTCTTACAACCCTAGAATTTATGGAGAGTGGAGCGGGAGTAGATCCGCAGAAGGGAGAGCGAATAATAACGAGGAGAAAGAATGAGCGGAGGGAAGCAGACCATAGATATCAAACGGAGGCATCCGACGGGGAGGTGAATTACGAGTACTGTACACACGAAAATAGACCCAGTTAACACCCTTACACGCTTTAGTTTATAAGTGTGTGTTTGTGTGTGTGTGTGTGTGTGTGGAATAAAGATCAAATGCGAGCAGTGCTTAATGTGAGAACACCACATTTACTCCAACGTGTTACACAATGAAGCTTGCATTTTGCATTGTTTTCACGTTTTTCACAATATATATATATATATATATATATATATATATATATATATATATATATATATATATATATATATATATATATATAGGGAAAAAGTAGTCTTCCCGTGAAAAGTGAGAACAAATCTTAGCCTTTAATGACTTGTAAATGAATGGATTAGATTAACTTTAATCACAATACACAGAGTCAAATAATGTGCAAATGTTTATTGAACAAAGTGGATATTAAATGACTAAAAGTGCACTCTTGAGTGTTAAAAATGGTTGCCAATTTTTTTGAACTTGTACACATTTTATGATGTACCGTTATGCATTTTTTTGCTTTGCATGTACACTTTTTGCATATTCTTGTACACTTTTTGTATAACATTTTTATTAAAAATTCTTCATAATTACCAAAATGCCACCGCGTTTTTCACTTAAAATTTGATCTCTTCCATCCATTTTTTCATATCAATGGCCAAGATTAGTTCTTACTTTTCACCTAGGAAGCACTTTTTATTTGATCCATACTTTATATATATATATATATATATAGGGGAGGGTTCCTGTGAGAACACACTCCCAGGAGAGGAAAAAAGAACAAAATCTAACCATCTAATAAACTTAATCAACGATGAAGATTTAATAGAAATGAGTGATGGCAGTGTAGTAATTCGGTGCAATTATGAAGGACAATTCTAATGGAAAAACTAACGCAATTAATAATAGGGGTAAAGATGTAAAATGATGTTGTAAAACAACCGTAGCACTATATGCACTTCCTTAAAAATCTCATTGTTTTAATCATTTTGAATGGCTAAACTCTAACTATTCCTAAAAGATAGGGATATCAATTATCATGCATTTAATTTTTATGAGTCATCACTTGAACGTATTGTTGAAAGTTTCATAATAATTAGGAAAGAATTGAATGACACTCATATTTTTCAAAATACGTTCTTCTATTCAATTTGGACAACAAAAATTTTTCGATCATAAATCTATTTTTAATTTTTTACATTAATTACAGAATTCTTTTTCCATTAAATTTTACAATATGGATTTGCACCATAGCATAGAATAGTTGCACCTTTATTCAAAATTTTATGCAACGTCTATTAATTAAATTGAATATTCATATATTTTCATAATAGTAGTTTCAACAATCAACACCATTTATAAACAAAATGAATTTGATGATCAGAAATGACATTTTTATTATATTAATCTGCACTTTTGTCAATTGCACCTCAATGTTTTGCATTTTCTATAACATTATCCTACACTTGACACATCTACTAGTGCACTTTACTACATTTTTATATATTAGAATGATATAAATAAAATAAAATAAAATGAAAATATAAATGCAAGGGTGTGAACTAATTCAATAACTATCATGTGCACTTTAAATGTATAAAAAGTGCACTATTAAGGATGCAAAGTTTATCTAAATTTACTTGTTCACGTATGTGAGTCAATGTGTGCACTATTCACTCAATATAAAATGAACTCTTAGAGTACAATTTATATGCACCTTTCTTCTTTAACGATGCAATTACATATTTGATTAGATGCACTTTTACATAAGAATGAAGATATAAATGTAACAAATGCGTTGCTCATCACATAATCGTGAAATTGTATTTTGGTGCAAAATATGTATATCAAAGGTGCATAATTACAACAATAAGATATCTATATATTCATGATACTGATTAATATTAATATATTGTGCAAAAAAGTGCAAGATAAAGAGTGTCAAAAGTGCACATATTATTTATAGAAATAGTATGTAAATGAAAATATAGTCAGACAAAGTGATAAAAAATATAATAGTTGTAAAAGAAATTAAGTGGGCCAAGACGTGCAATATGATGATAAGGTACAAAAATTATAAGAGAAACTTAAAGTTTGACACGTATAGGATAAAAAAGAAAAAAGAAAATGTTATGCACTTGGCTAGAAACAAAATACTATGCAATTGGCTAGTTATAGGTGAGATAAAATAATAGAAGGAAACTAAATCAGCGAAAGAATAGGGAGATATGAAGGGCCGTTTCAACCGGAGGAGTAAAATAAGGAAAATGTGTGAAATGTCATATTAGCCCAAAAAGTATAACCGTAACCTTCCCTATTCCTATGCTAATCCAATGGTTGATATCTATTCTTTTTTACTCTCCTAAGATTAAATTCTCACATGAACCTAAATCTATATATATATATATATATATATATATATAAATATATATATATATATATATATATAGAGAGAGAGAGAGAGAGAGAGAGGACTTTTCATGTCCAGCCGGCCTGACGGGAACCGCCGTCCGGACGAGGGCATTTCGGGTACTTTCCGGTGGAATTTTTTGATGAAATTTTTTGAGCATGTTCTTCATGAAGTCTAGTTATCCATACCAAATTGCAGCTAAAATTTCAATCGGTAAGGCACTCAAATAATTTCTTAAAGCTAACTGGGCAGTTTATATGTATGAACTGCCCAGTTAACTTCAAGAAATTATTTGAATGCCTTCCCCATTGAATTTTTAGCCAAAATGTGGTATGGATAAACTAGACTTCATGAAGAACATGCTCAAAAAATTTCATCAACAAATTCCACCGGGAAGTACCCAAAATGCCCTCGGTCGGACGGAGCATCCCGTCAGGCCGGCCTGACATGAAGACTACTCTATGTGTGTGTGTGTGTGTGGAATCCTCATAACGAGAACTTTCTAATGGTGACCTAAAAACAAGATTTTGGAACAAAACAATTCGACCAAATATCGGGTAGAATAAGGGAATTTGGGTTTGAAGGATTAAATTGCCTCTGATACCACTTGTTATGATTGGAAAATTCTTTATTCATAACCAGAATAGAATTACAATGGGAGGGGCAATTACCCCACTCAACTATTACAAAAACTCAACCCTCTTATACACTCACGATCTAAGTGTATCAGTCTCACTATTTCACTCCAATTTTTGATGATTTTGAACAATCAAGAACAAACCTATTTATAAGGAAATGATGGGAGACAACTGCACACTGCCCATATAGCATCTCATGACTTTTTATACCCTTTTTAATTGATATAGGATCCACAACTCCATGCCATAAAGTGGGTGTGTATGGGAGTTGCAGAAAGCCTACACCTTGCACAAACCTGGACAATTTCTCAATTGAGCGGTAGTTGTTAAGTGTCTCTACATTAACCTCAGCTACTTTAGAACATAATTCATTATAAAGATGATCCTCCAAATGGTGATATCTAATCATGACGTCCGTCATGGTCATCGTCATCAAAGATCAACGCCTTGAGAGAGTCCATGAAGCACAGTAGGTGTACACTCACAGCCATGGAAGCAACCGAACATCTGGCAGAGTCCAGATACTTCCACAGCCTGTGGTGGGTGCACATGTTGTGGTAGATCACCAAACCTGAAAAAATGAAAGAAAACAACTCTACCTTTGACAAGGTAGAAAGTGAAAACCTAGACTCTAGAGCAATAAGCACAATAGCGAGCACGCAATGGAATGCGTGCACACCAACCTCGATGAGCTCAAATGCCTATCTGCAGTCTTGGTCACCCAGCTGCTTCAAACCCAGCTCGAGCTTAATCCCCAGAATAAGGGATAATAAGCAGGTGCAAAAGGCTATGACGCGAAGTCCCCAGAGAATTAATATGTAGCCTCTAACGACTCAACATGCTAACCAACCAACTAATAAGGGATAGCAAGCAGGTGCATAAGCCTATGACGCGAAGTACCCGGAGAATATGTAGCCCCAAACGACTCAACCTTGTGTGAGCACCACTTAGACACTCTCTATCATATTAGCCACCCATACGTGTAGTATATGTGTGTGTGTGTGATCGGAATGCTCAATAGCAAGGACTATATTATGTTCATATTCTCTTCATGAGAAGAGTTTCTCTCAATTAGTAATTTTATCATTTTATAGGTTTCCTCAATTTTATCATGGTATCAGAGCTCAAATCTTGGAAACAAAATTCTAGTTTTTGTTTCTCCTATTTCTCTACTCCCTAAATTATGGTTTGTCCTCCTACTGTCCAAGTAAATATGGGATACGTATTACCACACGTTCTCCCTTGGATAATTGATTTCGGAGCTACCGAGCATATCACTTGTAATACCAATCTTTTTAATATCATTGACGAGCACTTTGTCTTAGTGCGTCAAAATAAATTCGCTACTAACACTTATACGTAGTACAGTGAAGTAGAGTTCATATCCACATGGAAAAGAATAATTCTCTTTTTTATGAACTAGTAAATAAAAGGGAGAATTTTGAGATTGCGTGATTTAATTTAATTAAACACCAAGATGAACAACTTATATGTGATTTAATTCAAAGATAAAAAGAACTTGGCTTTGCTACTTTCCACTTGTTGATATATTTAGTCGATCCTTGTTATATCTGTAACTTATCCCCTCTCGAATACTCAATCGAGGAGTATCTCCATTTCATCGAGGGTAGTTATTAACATTGACTGTTCATTAATAACCCTTACTATTAATCAAATATAGAACAACGTCGTATACCGATTTAATAGTAGCTTTAATCTTTTTAACTCCTTAATGAAATCAATTGATATTGATAACCTCAACACAATTAATCCCTCTGAAGTTTATTAACCACGCCCGTGCATTAATAAACCGAGGTTACTTACTCGTGAAACCATCAACGATTAACCATCGGTTCGTTGATCATTTGTAGTAATAATTAATGTCGAAGCGTTAACTAATTGTCACCAATGTTCTAAAAGTCGCTAGGCACTAGTCGGGCGCCAGCCCAACGCCTAGCGCCTAGGCGGCTAGGCGGGCGCCTAGGCGGGGACGAATCAGAGACATATAAATTTCAGTTTTATCTATGTTTTTGCATAAATATGATAACTAATATTGTATTCTTACATATATACACATACATATATAAATAATAATAAAAATTAGGTATATATAAAAATATATATAGTCTTTATCTTAATTTAAAACTTCATTTCTTTATATCTGGGGCTAAAGTTAAA